CTGTCTCATGATAATTATATTATAATAAACCACACACACACAATTGGTTGTACATGCATGGCTATAATAAATAATAACCTGTGCCAAAAATGCCCATGATTGCACACTCTTCACACATACATAAAACGAACGCCTTGACTTCGACACCCACACCCCACACTTGGATAAGTTAGGCAGAGACAGAGCTAAATAGCCGCTGGGTCAAGTCCTGCGAGGAATTCCGTTTGCCTGGAGCCACTTCTCACAGATGTCCCTCACAGGCAGCTGCCCCGCCTTCTCGGCGATCTGGGAAATGTTGACGACCTCGTCCACCAGTCGAGACTTTATGGCAGTGAGGTAGGCGTTCTTCAGCTTCCCACACTGCACTAGGGCCTTGATCTGTAGATGGAGAGAGAGAGGGGGGCGGTGTATATAGAGAGGGAAGGTGAGTCCGAGTGACACACGCTACACTCCATACCTTGCTCCTCTCATTCCTCAGTAGATTTACCAGTTTCTCCACTTGTTTGGTCTGAAAAACAATCAATGGCAATTCATGTGCCCATCCCCCACACAAATGGCAGAGGCTAAGAGACTTTGCTAGTATCACGAAAACAAAACTTTAGTGAGAATTAGCAAATTGAAAAGGAAAGGGTTTTAGTACGATAAGTAACTCTTATATTTTTAATACCTCCTTCGAGTGGCTTGCTAAGACTTTGATGGCAGCCATTAGGATCTCATCATTGAGGGAGTCCGATGCAAACGAGCTCTTGTTGGCACACTCTAGGAGGACACGTATGTCGCTGTAGCGGAGGGCTCCCGCCAGACCTCGCGACGTCTCGCAGAAAATGTTGGACAGTGGGCAGTCTGTACGTCTGGAGGAAGGAGAACCAGCTGTGTGCAGCATTCTACCGTAACGTTGTACTACCATCGATAATGTATGAGAGTCGCTACAGCAACATGTTAACCCGACGTCAACACGATAATAAAATTAGCACTATTACTTGGAAAATATGAGCTCGAATGAGCAGAAGGGATAGGTAAGAGAGAAAAAGATAAAAGAAGAGGGAAGAGACGGGACTGAGAGGGAGATGGGCTCACTGTGACAATGCTATGAGCAAGTTCGAAGCCCTCCAAGATGTCCTGACTGCGCAGCATAAGCTGGACGGCCACCTCGGCTCTCATGTGCCCACTACTGAACAGAGTTACCGGCTGTACCAGCTTCCTGGCCACACCCCCAGAGCTGTTGGTCACGCCCCCTTCCCCGGAGGACGTCAGTGGAGTCTGAAGACTGTTCGAAGCCTTTGCACATCGGTACAAAAACTCCGTGACCTGAGGCCAACAGTTTAGACACATCTCTCTCTTCTTTCTTTTGCCCTCCATAAACTCTTATGTATACACTTCCTTTTCGTTTCTTTCACTAAGAGCCAAAACTATATCTTGTTCAGTGCTCTTACATAACAACGTTGACAAGCTATGCATGCCTGTGCTAATGTGTTTACATTTCTTGCTTCTCTCCCCACCCCTCCCCTCCCTCTCTCACCCTCATCTGCAGCTCTATGGTGGTGATGTGGCTCTTCAAGTCAGAGACACTCATGTTCTTTGTGGACGTGGCCAGCGAGAGGTGAGGGTCCTCGCCCCCACTGCGGAGGTACCCCCCACCACGCCCCCTCCCGACCCCCGGGGTTCGGTCCCCGTGTGCCCGCTGCTTCGCATCGAGAGCTGACTGGAAGTGTCTGAGGGCGGTGATGAGGTAGTGCCGACGAGAAAAGAGGTCAGTGATGGTTGTGCTGCGGCCCGAGAAACCGATGAAGAACTTGATGCAAGTCATCCCCGCTCTGATAAAGTCCTGACAGATAGACCACACACACACACAGACAGACAGACAGACAGAGAGAAAGAAAGAAAAATTTGTTGATAGTTCTTGACACTACACCTAGTATCTGAAAAACATTCATCCCACAAACCTCCCCCGTTCTCTCTGTAACAACCTACCCTCATGTAGAGCTGTGTCTGGTAGAGGATGTGGTAGAGAGATCGCTGCGAGAAGTGGCGACAGACGGCGGTAAGGTAGGGCTCCCAGTGTACCAGAGAGTGGTTCAGAGCCTTCAGAATGTCCTGGACCTTCTCTATCACCCCAGCCTTCAGGGCCGGGACCCACAGCTGCTCCACAAACACCTCCTCTGAACACCTCTGGAGAGAAGAGATACGAGAGAGTATACATCTCCCACAGAACAGAAACCTATCCTACTGCATTCTGTTGATAAGAGTTGAGCCTTTACATTGCAGGGTATAATGTTGCTCAGCTTTGCCTGGCAATAGAGAAAACTTGTGTGCATTGTCTCTGTCTTAGATTTACAACTGTAAGAGTTTAAAGATGTACAGTTATCCTTCATGCACACACACACACACACACACGCACACACACACACCTCGTCCAGAATGTACTTGCAGGCGTCGGTCCAGCAGTTGTGTCTGACAAAGAAGGCCACGGTGGCGGATTGGCCTCCGTGGGACTGGAGGTAGTGGAGACACTCTGAGAACCTGTGGGTGTCGAGGTCACAGTCCTCCGAGTGCTTCTCTGTGAGCGACATGCACGCCATCATCACACTGGACCAGTCCTCTGTCGGCTGGGGAGGGGTGAGAGGTGTAGGGAGGGAAAACCAAACGTTAAGTATTCAAGAAAGCAAGGAAGAGAGAGGGGTAGGTATGTTTTCATCACAACTTAACTGTCGGAGGTACTTGGACTGCATTATTAATAGTGCAGGCCTCTACGGAAAGAAACAGAAAGGACTGTAGTGTATATACCTGAGCACATTTGGTAGTGATGGACAGGGGGCTTTGCTCCAACTGTTCCACAATCCTCTCCAGCAGCTGCTGCGTGCCGGCCCCGCCCATTCCGGAGCTCCGCCTACCTGCCGTGACCCCTGACCCCCGCTGGGAGCTCATCTGTTGAATAAGCACAAAACCACTAGTGAACTAGTGAGGACAAGAGAACAAGACAGAGAGAGAGAGAGAGAGAGAGAGAGAGAGGAGAGGGAGGTGCTGACTGACCTGGAAGCAGTGTCTAAACTTCTCGCGAGCCTTGGCGAGCTCTCCGCAGCGAAGACAAGCCACGCCCCACGCAGACCAGACGACGCTGGTGTCCAACTGACACTTGGTGGAGACCTCCATGGCCAACTCAAACTGGTCTTCCTGCACGAGGCGATCCCTGACCCGTCGCGCCAGCTCTGGCTTGGCCAGCTCCTGGATCGAGGGTACGACGCGGGAACGAGAGGACACCAGCCGGCGGAGGAGGTCCACTCGACTCAGGTACCTGTGTCAGGATGTCATGTGACAGTCAGGTGATCTTATGACTAGGTCACATGACCACTAGCAAGTCTAGCAACGTCTTACTATTCACATAACAAAAACGTTGCAAGGTATGTATGAGGGTAACAAATGGCTGCATTACACATACATACATACATGTAGGTCACATGATAGTCATGTGGAATGATAGTTGGATCACATGATCTCCCTTACGTGTCACAGATCTCGACTCCAGAGAGATCAGTGGCTTCTTCAAACCTCAGCTTTGCACTCCAAAGCAGATTCTGTATCACACTATTAGAAAAAGAGGGAGTGAGGAAGGGGGAAGAGGATTAACGAGCAGGGACTTACCCGATGACGAAGTACTGGTCGACCTCTCGATTGATGTTGTCGCGGGAGTCGGAGACGAGCTGGAGGGAGACGGACTGGCAGCGGTCAAGGAGGCATGCGGCGGCCATTCCCCGAGAGAGGAGCAGGTCAACCAGCGTCAGACACAGAGCCCAATTTGGACTCTCCTCGTAGCCAAACTCTGACCTGTGTACGTTACATAGGGTTCTGATCGACAACTATTATTACGTAAATAGAACAGTATAACTCTGATGCACTAAACTATTGCACACATGCTTATTATGCCTGCATAATACCGTAGTGCCGTGGGCTTTGCAGTAATAGATGACATCATCAAGTGTAATGCCTAGTCTTGTGTTCTATGCTAAGAAGGACTAGAGGGCTCTGCTCACCGGATATTGTTATTGTAGGCGTTGTCGTTGGGTAGGAGTTTCCATCTCTGGTTATGTGAGAGAGCAGGGTAGACACTGGCCAGAGTGGCCTGGTACTCTGAGGACTGACCACTCTCTTCAATGCTGTGTGTGGAGAGGGAGGTGGGAGTGGAGGAGAGGTGTAGGGGAAAGAGAAGAGAGGAAGGAAGAAGAAAGAGGGAGAAACAGAGAAGTTCATAATGTACAAATGAGAAATGAGAGAGAGAGAGAGAGAGAGAGATCGGTCACAAAACCTGGTGTTCTTCTGGAAGGAGTGGCAGTCTTTGCAGGTCCTCTGCGGCCGATCGTAGCCGTCCACAGCGGTGAGGTGAGGGGAGCAGCGAGCACACACCACACGTCCACACCTCCGGCAGTGGTGCCGACGATTGAACTAAACAGAAAACAAAACCTCCTTTGGGAAACTTTCGGGAGAGATAGAAAATTGCTTCAGCACTTGCTAAAGTTCGTGGCTGGGACCAATTTGACGAGCAACGCACAAAATATACTTCTGTCTTAGTATAAAACACTTGTGAAGAAAGCAGTGCCTACAAATATGTTTACATGTGTTTTATGTACCACTGCTCCTTCACTACTACATTATCTGCTTAATGTCACACCATTCCAAAATTGGCACTGCGGCAGATGGGACAGTTCTTTGCCTTCGAGTCAGGCACCCACTTCTCCTTGGGCGGGGGCACGGGCGGAGGCTCATAATTCTGGGCGGAGTCCATAGTGTGGTATGCCGGGGTTGGACTAATGGGTGCCTGAGAAGAACGCCTGAAATAAATGTTAACACAGAGATTCAAAATATTTTTTCTTTTCGCTGTCAGTCAGAGAGTAAACCTGCGGTGATGTGTGTAGGTGGTTCGGGAGGGGGGTTCCGTGAAGGTGTGTGGGGTGAGGGGGACGGTGGGAGGGTGTGAGGTGTGACCTGGTGAGGTGGGGCGAGTCGACTGGGCCGTAGTTGCAACAGCTGCGGAGAGAGACGGAGAGAAAAATGACGAAGAGGAGTTAGAAAATGAGGAGTTTAAACTCAACGAGTCTTAAATTTTCCTACTAAGTTATTTCAATTTTGTTGCATTTCTGGACAAATGTAAACCTCGTCTGTTGCAGTACACAAGTTGACACTGATGAAAAATACACTTCCAATTATCCCCAGTCAATTCTCCCACTACTGGAAGCCACTCACAGTAGGTCTTGTTGCTGGAGGAGAAGACAGGCTCGGGGAAATCCAGGGCCTTGCTGGCGTAGAAGATGAAGAGGTCGGTGAATGGATCGTTAGTTTCGTCCTTCGGGAGGGAAGAGGGGGCGGAGCCAGTCCTCGGCATGTCGGACACTGTGAGCCAACCGATGTGATGGTCCTTTCTTAACTCCTTCACCACCATCGCTGCCAGCTCCGTCTGCAGTGGTCCGAGGGTTAAAAACATACAGCAAGTGGTCAGAGGGTTAAAAACATGCAGCAAGTGGTCAGAGGGTTAAAAACATACAGCAAGTGGTCCGAGGGTTAAAAACATACAGTAAGTGGTCAGAGGGTTAAAAACATACAGCAAGACATTCTCAGTGCATAAATGTCGCCAGTATTTCAAACTAAATTGGCCACCATTAATGTTTCACCTTCTTGTGGATGAGTAGTTGCTCCACCAGTAGAGCGGCATCTCCCATTAGAGACTTGTAGTCCTGTCTCTCCTCTCTCGGTAGACTGAGCAGGGCCTGCACCACATGACACACAATACATCACGTACTGTACATACATCAAGTATTGAGTGGGAGGTAACCAGCCTGTATATTATATATACACTCAAATAGTGGAAAAAATCAAACTGTATTGTCACACGCAACAGGCTGTCACGCTTGTGTATGTGCACATCCGTTACTGAACCCCTTTAGCCTCTCTACCACTGTATGTTTCGCTGGCACAGTTGGATAGCTCCCGCTAGCCAAAATGCACTGCATTCACGTAATGCGAGGAGCCTGCAACCCACCTTGGCTCCCAGGAGCCAGTTCATGTACTTCAGCCTCTGCTTCTCCCCCACTACCTTCCCCAGTTTGGAGGTGATGTAATGCAGAATGAAGATGGTGGTCTCCACGTGGTCGAGAGCGCCGGCAGCTGCATCCTTCATCCTGTGCTCCAGGACGGACTCGCAGACCCGCAGGCGAAGCTTGTCCTCGAGAAGGCTGTCCAAAACTCTGTGAGCCGACAATGGATCGGGTGACTGGCCCTCCAGCAGCGTTGACAGGTAGTCAACCTCTATTTGCTGCATGTAAATACAAACATACATGTACTGTACGCCATGTGGGCTTAAGTTATGAGAGAATGCTATACATAATGTACGGTGTTGAAGAGTAGCTATATTACTTAGAGACGAACCTGACAGATCCTCTGAGACAGCGAGTGAACGAGAGCCCATCTCCTGGACAGCTCAAACTCCCTCTCCGTCAGTAACATTCCCAACACAAACTGTGGCTTGCTCTCCGAGTCTCTGGCAAGGGTGGTCCAGCGAGACCACGATCGCTGCTCCTTTTTCCTCTCTCTCTCGGAGCGAGTCAGCAAGAGACTCCGACATTTGCCCATGATGGTCGAGTAGATCTGCATCCGCTGCAGTTTGTCCTGGACGGCGGGGAGGAGAGGGGAGGAGGGAGGGAGGTGGTGAGAGGAGAGGGAGAGGAGATCGCAGCAAACATCTACAGGCCAGTTGTGGAGGGAAGAGAGGACCAATCGTGCCGCCATTTCCGGGTCGGAGAGCTGGAAGAGGAGGGAGAGGGGGGAGGAAGAAGAGGAGGAGGAGGAGGAAGTGGAGGAGAGAGTTTCGCCGGCCATCTCTCCGCTCTGCCCAAGAGACAGGATCTCAGAATAGCTCTTGACGAAGGCAGAGGAGAGGGCAATATCGGCAAGGAGACTGGTTCGGTTGCGGTGACAAGCGGCGGGTTCACTCGCCAGGAAAGCAATGGCTTCCTGGACTCGACCGCTCTCGACGAGACGATGAAGAGAGTAGTTGCAGGCGGAGCCCAGGGCGTGTCCTCGGGCGGGGAGGAGAGCCAAAACTCTCAGAGATTCCTTTGGCTTGGGGAGGGAGGAGCTAGCCCCGCCCATGCTCCGCCTACCACCACCACCTCCGACGGAAGAAGTGGGTCGGGCTGTGGGGAGGTCCCAAGGAAGAATGGAGTTAAAGTTTGCGAGTCTCGCCTGCAGGAAGTGCTGCATGGGTTTGTGAGTGACGAACTGAACCAGGACGTCCTCCAGGTCTCGTTGCCAGGAGGAGAGGGAGGGGGAGAGAGGGGCGTGGTGGTCGTAGGAGGTCCGCCGGGCGAGCGACGTCTTTACGCGACTCCTCACTGCAAACATCGTCATCGCTCTTCGACCGCTGTCTTCTCTCTCTTCTCCCTCTGACACTTCTCCCGTCACACTCACACCCGTCGTACCTGTAAAATTATCAGAATGAATGCAATACATTTTGGCGACTGAGCGTGAGCAGTTCAATTCGTATTTAGAATGCTAGTCTCCCTATACAATGACATCATACCTTCTTCTTCCGAGCCTGTGGCCGGTACAGATTTGTTCATCTTCCTATGAGGAGTCGTTGCCGTTGCAGAGGAGGAAGGGAGGGAGATGGAGGGAGGAGAGGGAGGAGGGGGACAGAGAAGATGGATCAGCGCAGCCAACAGGGGGTTTTGGTGGGTGACAAAGGTCAGGATCTCCGGAGTGAATGTGTAACCTTTCTTGATCGTCAGCTGGGGTCCCTGCGAGGAACCGGTGGAATCTAGGACATCGGTCTGGCTGCGGAGTCGACTCATTCTCCTCCGGGGTGACGTGACGGCTGATTCCGATCCTCCCGCGGTCTCATTCCCAGTCCGCGATACCCGATTCCCATCCTCTGCTCCGAGGAACCGATACCCGAGTCTCAGTTCCTCGTTCTGAACCGTCACCTTGACTGGGAGCGGGTGCTTGCGAGTCACGGCAGTTTCGCAGGCAGTCACGAGGGGTTGCAGGAGCTTGCTCAGCTCGCTGTCGACGTGGGAGAGGAGGTAGGTGAGGAGGGAGAGATCGGGGAGGTAGTGGAGGGAGGAGTTCCCGTGTTTCTCGCTCGAGACCGGCCGAGCAAAGTCGTCTCGGTGATCGTACAGCATCTGGGGGACTGTCACCTGCACACGAGAGCCAGGAAACTTCAAACGATACACATTTCCAGGTTGAGAAAGGAAAACGGTTTAAACGGTCTTAACTCGGGACTCCATTTGCACTTTCAGCACCACTCATTACTGCGCAACTTTACCACACATTTAAACAATACCACACATTACAGTATAGTTCAAGAGGGTGTTATTCAGGCAAGTTTCTCTCACCTCCTTGGCAGCCACATCGACACGAACGGTCCTCGAGAGGTAGCGTCTCTCTGCAGTCTTGAGTGAGGAAGAGAAGTCGTCCGGGTGGAGGGGGAGGGGCAGCGGAGAGGAGGCGGGGCCAGCGTGGACCGCGAAGAGGATCCGAGGGTCGGGGGACGAGGGGGAGAACTGGGCCCAGGGATCTGGCTTCACTGGAGCTGAAAGAACGACACAAGGGAAGAAGAGATATGGAATACCAGACATACACATACACTCCCTAATTGGGAAAATAAATTTCGCTTGAGACACCAAAATGTTGAAATTGAACCATGTGTAAGCATACTGCCACTTATATGAAAATGTTGCGCAACACTGGCTCCTTTCTGCATTATACAACTTCCAAAAACTAGTGCATGTGCAACTTTTCGCCATGTATGGGTGTCACATAAAACCCTCTCACCCATGACTCACCAATGCGACAGAGAAGGGGCGTGTCTCTCCCAGACAGTGGAGGAGACAGACTTCGGCGCAGGACGGTGTGATGGAGGTCGTGGCAACTGACGACGCCCAGCTGACCCACGTGGTACCCCAGTCTGGTGAGTACCCCGGCCTGGAGTAACTGACTCCGCTCCAACTCCAGGAGACTAATCTTACTCCGAGATAGTACCCCGGTTTCCCTGCCGTGGGCCTCGGCGATGCAGAACATGAGGCAGTGGGCATAGAGGAAATTGACGACGTTGCTGAAGAACGAGGTCTGCTCAGTGGGCGTGGTCAGGGTTCGAAGGTCAACAGAGGCGAGGCGGGTTGTCTTGGAGATGAGAGTCTTCATCTTTGGGGAGTTGTAGATGGCAAGGAGGTCGTCTGAGGAGACCAGATGATCCTGTGTTGCCGTCTGGACCGAGTGCTCTGTGCAGGAGAAACAGAACATGACCTACACAGTAGGGGGGTCAAAGTTTGCTCTCTGTGCACCACTACCACTTGCTCCGGACTAGTGTGTGTCAATCTGCTTATCGAGCTTTGTGCATCTGGTGGGCCTGTGTGTGCTGCAGTGTGTGTGTGTGTGTGTGGGGGGCCTAATGTACTGGCGTACCATGTGTGTGTGTGTGCCTGCTGAGCAATCTGTGTGTATGGATGAAACTGACCTTTGACGAGAGATAGAAGGTTTGTGAGCAGTTTCTCAGAGAAGGCACAGAGATCTGTGAGCGGGACTGCTTCTTGCGGACACTCCCCCTCGTTCAAAGCAACCACACCCGCTGGGCTCTGGACATCTGCACACACACACACGCACACACAAAGATTCTTGCATGAGGAAGCTGTTTGTGCAGTATCCCTTACAACCTGATAGAGTGGGGAGGGGGAGAGGGAGGGGGAGAGGGAGAGCCGGGAGCTGCGGACAGCAGCAGCGAACGAGGACCTCCATCATGTGGATGTGGTGGAAAGACGACATGAGACACTCCAGTCTCGTCGGGGCCACGCCCACCTCGAACACGAGACGACCGAGGAGTCTACTGGGGCTCTCTTGCAGGACTGACAGTAGGAGAGCTCCCTCCGAGAGGGCTGGGGAAACAGGAAGATACGTATGGAGGAAAAGGTGGGACGGAGAGGGAGTAGGAGAAATGGGCGGAGCATTAAGTTGAATCTGGCCTTAGACACAAAAAATAGTATTTCCCCTTTCACTGAAACTAATTTGTCAACTACCAGGTACAGATAGGGAAAAGACAAAAGGTTGGGTACAAACATATGGTAAGTCCTAAGATTATCCACACATACATGTAAATTCACACATATAGAGCGCATCATACCTGATGGAGAAGGAGAGAGGCATTTAATCAACAGGTCCATGAGCTGACTCAGATAGTTACTGAACTGGAGGACAAAGTTTGTGCTGACTCCGCCCACTTCGGGCGAGGTAGACCCCGCCTTCAGGAGCACAGACGAGGACCGTCGCATCAGTCCCCGTTGCCGTGGAGATCCCACGAGAACCGGCGAGCGACGACCGTCTCCCTCTAACACGTGCAGCAGCTCCTCGAACATGGCGTCGAGAATGTTTGGTCTGCGGAGAGCCTGCGACAGAGATCGCTGCGGTTCCTCCAGTGGCGAAGTAGACTGTTCGAATGCTGTGATGACGTCGCCCGGTACGTCCATGTCTTTCTTGAGGTGCTTGGAGAGGCGGTCTCGGGCGTTGCGGTATGAATCTTGGAATGATTTGTATGCCACGACAGAGGGGGTTCTCAGGGGGCCGAGGAAGGACGAGAGGAGGATGTGAGGAGAGTGGTACGGCGGGTGTCGGGATAGGCGGGAGAGACCTGGTAGGGGGAGCGCGGGGCTGAAGTAGCCAGACACCTCTGAGAACAGCTGGAGGAGGGAGAAGGGTCCGGGGAGACTGACTTCGTGTTGGACGCCTGCCTTCTTCCCCGAGGAGAACCGACGCGCCCCCGAGCGAGTTTTGGTGGTGGAGAGGGACTCCAAAACTGACTGACAGCGGCCGCTGGCCTCTTCCACGATCCTCCTCGCCACCTGGCCCTCCGTCTTAGTGCTGGACACCACGTCGAGCATCACGAGAGACGAGACGTGCTGGGAGAGGGTCTGAAGATTTGCCGAGTCCTGCGCAGCTCTCTCGAGGTGCTCGTCGCCACTCAGCAACATGCGGTGGAGGGAGGAAGGAGCGAGAAGATGATGGAGACTTTCCAGCGCCGAAGAGCTGCTCGTTGCGTTTGCAATGGCTACATGAAGGTGGGTGTCGGGATGAAGAAGAACAGAGGAAGAAGACGACGACGAGCGATGATGAAACTGCTGACGGTTTCTCTCCTGGGGTGTGAGAGAAGGAGAGGTTTTCGGGGTGGAGCTCCACCGAGACTGCTCCGCCAGTTCTCGGCAGACGCATTCGTACTTCTCTGAGAAATGGACGAAGCTCTTTCCAAACTGGTTCTCCATTCCAAACATCTTGAGGACTTCGTGCGCCCGTGAGTAGTTGGAGTGACGGAGACACGTTCGCAGTAGGAGCCCGGGGAGGCGAGCATCTGCGAAACAACACTCCCGTGGGCACTCCCCGCGTCCGATCTCTCGCTCACTTTCGTTCGACGTTTCTTTGCTGCCTGAAGGCTGCGGCTGCGTAGTCTCTTCTTTCTTTGGCCGTCGCGATTGTGTTGTGGGGACTTCTCGTCAACGTCGGCCCACTCTCCACTGTCTAAACCGGGATCAGGTTGAATTGGAGTCGATGGCTTCTGGTCGGATGACGGACGGGAGGAAGACGAGAAGTCGGGGAGAGGCGAACGGTGTTGACGAGGAGGGTCTCCCCCGCTCGCCCCCAAGGGTCGCGGAGACCTCTGTCTCATTCTGGAACGGTCTCCGGACCTGGGACTGAGGCTGGGGGAGACGGCAGAGGAGTATGTTTGGATGTGGAGCGAGGAGGGTATACCCCACGTGGGGGACCGGAGTGACGGAATGGGGGAAACCCTGCCAATCTGAACCGACCTCGAGCTCAGTATGGTAGACGGAGGACGTTCGCTAACGAAAGGGGCAACCTCTGGCTCCGGAGCTCGCTGTACTGTGGAAGGTTTGGCGTCCGACGAGGCTTTTCGCGACTGCTTCCTCCTCACCTCTCTCACTCGTGTCCCCTCTGGTTCCGAGTCGCTCTCGCTGATCTCTGACCCGCTGTCCACACTACTAGAGCTCAGTTCACCCTCCTTCAGACTTCCAGTGACTACGCCGCCTCTCTGCTCAACCCTGATCCCGTGTTTGGACGAGACGAGCTGCAAACGCCAGCGAGCTTCGTTGATGTACTGCTCCAACTTGGCGCTGCGCTGCTGGGCCGAGGACGAGCTGATGGAACAGTGGATCGCGTCAGATTGAAGAGTCGTCATCCCACTTGTTGTCGGCTGGGTCAGGACATACCGAGCAGCTCTCATCTCAAACATACTGTCCTGTAGGACACTCAGCAGGTCTCCGGCTACCCGCTCACTCACCAGAAACCCGTGCTTGCTACGAATGAGAGCGATAGACGACAAAGCCGCAGAGAACTCACAGTCGCTCTGATGAGGTGGGAGATTCATATCCAGGGATCCGTTCTGACCGTTTGAGCTGCAGGTGCTACCGTGACGGCCTCCGCTAGCGTTGGAGGTGAAGGAGGAACGATGACGAGTGCTGTCGGACTGGGCTGGGGGGCGAATGTCTTCGCTGGCGAGGAAGAGAAGGGAGAACATGTTTTCCAGGATCTCCAGACGGTAGTTGAGAGGGTAGAGGAGAGAGACGCACGTCTTGGCCTCCTGCAGTCTCTCCAGGACCTCTGTGGCGTACAGCTGCTCCAGAGAGGGAGGGGCAGAGTGTGACTTGGACACACTTTCCTCTGCCATGGTCTCTCTGCCACCTCCTTTGTCAGTTTCGTTGAAATCCAACTTTCTTGCTGCGTGTGTTCTTGGCTTTGGTTCTTTGTGTTGTGTTCCTTTCGCACTGTCCTCGCGCATGGTTTCCCCTCCTTCCTCCATTTCCTCCCCACCATTTGCAACCTCACCAGCATTCTTCCCTCCTTCGCCCGCTACCTCTCTCTCCGGTTTTGTCTCTCTGTGACTGGGGAATATCCCACTGCTGATTTGCACCGAAGCCCACACTGCGTCAAGAACAAGCTTGAGAGCTTTAAACCCGCGAAATATCGCGATGTCTCTCTCTTGTTCAGGTCTCAGCTGTCTTCCGAGCGAACCCTGCTGAACCCCCGGGGTCTCTGCACCGGGGGCCGGGGAACCCTGCATTTGCTTGAGGGGGGTGGGCCCCCGGGAAAATTGGGGTGGGGGGGTCAGCGGGATTGAGAGAGAGGGTACTCTAGGACGATGCTTTAGAATTTCGATGACTTCGAGATGGTCGAGCGCGGCGAGGGGAGTGTAGTGGTGGAGTATGTAGAGCACAGAGTGGGTCTCCAGTCCTTTGAACATGTCCCCGGCCCTGTGGGAGGTGTGGGAGTGGTGAGGGGTGGAGGGTGGAGGGTGGAGATGGGGGCGGGTCTTGTCGAGGCACCACTGGACCAGCTCCACTTGGAATGCCAGTCGACAGCATCCCTCATAGAGCAACGGTTGGGACAGAGACACCTGGTAGAGAAATGGCAGAGGAACCAGCACGTACATGATCTCATGAGTACTGAACTATAGGTGTATGCATTTCGGTGGACACCAATGATTAGTAGAGTTGGACAAATCTTATGCATTTCTCGTTAGTGAGCTCTCTGAAAGTTTTTCACTGGCCACCGTGTGGAGGAACCAGCAAGTCCATATTGGATATTATACTGAACTCGTCGGTCGGCACCCATAATTTGTATGCCACACAAACAAACTGTGTGAAATATGTTGCCTGCAAGTTTCCCAAAAGTTGCCCCCCTTTCTCTGGCTCACCTGAGAGGGCCAGAGTGCTTCTGTTAGTTCCTTCCCACTCCCATCGGCAGAGAAGATGTCCCAGCCGAGGAGGAGGAGGGCGGGGCGCAGCAGGACAAACTCTGGCTTTGAGAGCAGCTCCGAGGCCTCTCTCAGTCTCCCGACTCGAATCAACTGGAGACCCAGGTCCTATTATATGACACACAAACAGACACAGACATACATACACTCTCTGTGTGTTTGGTGTGGGGGACATCTTGAACAAGTTGTCGTTTTGTGACATTTTCGGCTAGTGAGTGTCTGGTTTTTTGCACATCCTAATCCTGGCAATGTCATTGCTTGGTGACAAATAGCAATACGGGGAAAGTCAAATACCCACTCCTTCATTCTATCTCGCTCTACACACAAACACACACACACACACAGACCTACCAGCACACACTCCAGAAAGTGTTTGTGGTCGTGGTACACGTGGAAGAACAGAGCCCTCCAGTCTTGGGCCCCCTCCGTCTGCCTCAGCAGTTTCAGACTCCAGGCACCGCTCTTGTCCGCAGCTCCTCCCCCAACACTGCTCGCCTTTACCCTCACGTACTCCTCCACCTCGTGGAGTCTCTGAACCAGGTAGGGGGTGGAGCGACCCACCAGACACGCGTATATCTTGCTCACGTCAAACCGGATAAACTTCTCGGGGCCCAGTTGGTGGTTCATCTTGAGGAGAAAGACAAAGAGTTTGTCGACGAGAACGTGAGACATTTCGGGTCGAGGATCCATCAGGGAGAGGAGACCGTAGATCAGAGTGGTCAGTCTTTGGCACTCTTTCGTCACGCCTTGTCGCCCTTGGATCACGGCGGTAAGCGTGTGGTCGCTTTCGTACTGACTGTCTGAATCAGTCTCGGGGACTTCGGACGGTAGTTTTAGCTGGAGCATGGCTTCTAGGCTTTCGTGGATGGCCTTAACGTAGAGCAGCTGTAGGGCTTCGTTGTTGGCGAGGTAGGCGGGGCTTTCTTTGGCAGTCAGGCTCTGGATGAGGGCGTGGCCGGTGGTCGGTTTCGAGACGAGGACGTTGTGTAGGAACGAGAGGACGGCAGATTGGAGCGGAGGAACGGGCTCGGGAATGGTGCCCGGGATGACCAGCACATGGGTGGAGTGGTATCTGCACAGAGTGCTCTGTAAGTGTGGCAAGGAATGAAGCATGTAGTTACTTGTATCAGTGCCCTCCCATTTGCATTGTATCATTGTCTGTAAGTTCAGGCTAGGGCAACAATCGGAAGGTCAAAAATGACCGAATCTTGATATGGCAGCAACCCAGCAGGTTTAGTAGTGGTCAGAACCATCTGTATTGCTTTAAGTGTGTGTGTGTGTGTAGAGGGGTGCTCACAGAGACGGAGACAGCGGAGGAAGAAGAGTCGGTCAGAACAGAGCAGAGGAGAAGACGAAACTCTACCAGTCTTCTCACGTAGTCCGGTAACTGATCCTTTGCATCACCAAAGATCAGTTGGAAAAGTCGACATATATAGAGAGTCATATAAAAACAGTGTGTTATGTGTTTATGGAGGGGCGGGTGGAGAATGTGTGATTGAATGGGAAAGTTTGCAAAAAAGCAGGGTACAGTATACGATAGTATGTACTGCAGTATGGGGTTGTATATGTACCTCGGGTAAGGGATAGAGGGAGTTGTATGTCTGGAGAGCCAGCCAGGACAGGTGGTGGGGAGTTGGGATAGCTACACTCCCACTCCTACAAGTCAGAAAAAGGGGAATGGCTCAGTGGAAAGCTGGTGCAGTCACACTTTTATACACAATTCAGACTACTCTAGCTGTCTGAACTGACCAGGAATTGGAGGCTTCCATTATGAGGAGTTTGAGCAGCTCTCTGGCATTCTCCCCGCCGTCATGGTCTCGGCTGTGGTTCGGACGCATGCGAGCGAGCTCAGCCAGGATTCCCCGGGCAACCTCCCACTGTCCTAGAGACACGGCGTTGAACACGGCCGACTCCAGCTTCTGCTGGGAGTTCGAGGAGCAGAGAATACTCTTCCCCGCGAGCACCGATCTCTCTTGTCCGTCTGCGCCGCCCCGCGGCCGCTGCGTCGACGACGACATGGTCGTCTCCTAAAAAGAAAAGTGTAGGGTCGAAGGTCGTGGCCTTGCTGCAAGGAGGATCACGTGAGACGAGCGCTCGCGACGCATGCGCGCGAGCGCTGGATAAATAATTGGCGACAGTGGAAATGGAGCCCACAGACTCTGTAAAATTTAAAAGATCACCAAACCAGCACCTTGCCGATGTGAAAACACGCGATCGATCGCCCGTCAGACTCATACTCCTACCATGGCGGCTGTGTCGCGCAGCATACGTGGTGACTGTGGAACCAATCGTCTTCCTGTTCATGTTTGGCGCCTATCTGATGCTCTTCACGAGCCAACAGTACTTCTTCTGGCGCTACGGGTCGGAGGTGCTCGCGAGGAACGGTAAGGTACGACGTCCGTCAACGGGTGCATCTCCGCCGACGATCTCGGTGATTCCGTCGTGGATGTACAAAAATCCTCCAGTCGCCTCTTGTCCTACGTCTACGTCCCAGGACAGTTGATGTGCATCATCACCGCTCTTATTCTGGGTTCTTTGTCGGACACACTCGGTAGAAAGTTCATCTTTTATTTGGTGGGTGCTGGTGTGGTCCTGCAAGGACTGGTGTCCTTGGTTGTGGTCCTTTACAAACTGGATTTGCGGCTGCTTATCATTGGCGGTGTTCTGTCTGGATTTTTCGGAGGTTTTGCATCGATCTTGGGTACTAGTTTTGCCTATGCTGCAGACGTTAGTTCGCCAGGCAGGGGCAGAAGCATTCGTATCTCTATCATAGAAGCCATGATGTTTGTGGCTGGCCTGGTTTCAGAGGGAGGAGCTGGGAAAGTTATAGAACTTCTAAACTGTTCGTTTTGGCCTCTGATAGCAGTCTACATTGGCTCTGGTCTGCTGATGATCCTCTACACTGCTGTGTTCCTGCGAGAACCGTTCTCTCGCTCTGAGAGACTCCAGAGAGCTGTCGGCACTCCAAAGGGAATTGGACGACTCCTTCGCGGTCTGCGGCTCTTCTTCTGTCCCTCCACCTACTCCACCTGGAAGCTGTGGGCTGCTCTGGGAGTCCTTGTCATAATTGCGGGGAATTTCGTCGGGACACAGATAATTACAGCCATATTCCAGGCGGGACCCCCTCTGAAGTGGGGACCAGCTATGATAGGGTACTATGCGATGGTTGCGATGGCCACTCATGGAGTGGCTACCTTGCTCATCCTTCCTCTCATGGTGACTCTGTCTCTCCCTGACATCCTCATTGCTCTGATTGGAGTTATCTTCAGTGGCGGAATGGACCTCTTTACTGGGTTTGTTCGCCGCAACTGGGAAATGTTCCTGAGTAAGTCGATAATAAATTATATGTTCACTTGTCGTGTGGAATCTACTCACTGTGCAGTTGCGACTGTGTCGGCTATGGAAGCTGTCATATCTCCAAGTGTTAGAAGCTTCATGTCAAAACTGGTATCAGCTGGAGATCAAGGCAAATGTTTCTCCCCTCTCCCTCTATAATTATCGTGTTCAATTTATGAATTTCCCGCAGGAGCTATGTTTGCATTTGTTGCATCAACTGAACTGCTTGCTACAGCCACGGCCACTGCCTTCTATCCCAATATCTTCCCAGTCATCCTCAGCAGCAATCTGAGACCAGGATCTGCCTACTTCATCATGGCAGCCCTCTGCATTGCCCCTATACTTCTCCTTATGTATGTCAGTAAAAGGGCTAAATAAGGTCCAGTGCAAGAATGTAGGCTTCCGTTTTTAACATCTTCTAAATTTATCACTCACATTCCACTGAAGGAGAGCCTCATGTCGTAATTGCTCCCATTCAGAGTGCTTTGGATTGCGTCACACCACATGTACACTTGGCTCTGCTCTAGAGCTAGAGAGACTCGGTCGTCATGTGACTCCACAGAGAGTGATGACGAGGAGAAGGAGCCACTTCTGAGTGGAAACATCTCTCCCACTGAGACACTCAATTGAACCACTCAATCTTTGAACCAATGTTTTTCAGGTATAGCTAATATTTCACGAGCGTTTGAGAATCGGTATATATCACGCACTGAAATTCCGCAATCTTTACGACAGGTAGTTAGCTCTCCGGGTTGGAATTTCACGGCCGCCGAATGTTTGCGCGTGCGCACAAAATGCCCAGCTCCCGCGGACGACGTCGAGACGGAGAGCGAGCTAGCTGAGCCGGGGAGGAGTCTCGACGGAGAGCGCACACTGGACGCGACATGGAAAGTTACAAATCCAAGACTTGTCCCTCTTCTGAACCGACGGCGTCGTGGGTGTGGGTGAATGCGAAGGTGAATCGTACGAGCGGCGACTCGACCGTGCTTCGGCGAGTCTTCCGCGAACTTCGTAAGACCCGTATCATCACAGTGGAACCTTTAGTCTTCCTCTTCATGTTCGGCCTCTTCCTCATGATCTTCACGCAACAGCAGTACTTTTTCTGGCATTACGGCAAGCTCTTTCTCAACTCGACGCACGACGACTGCATATCAGCAGAAGACCTCGAGTCCGATGCGGTCGTAAAAGTGCAGAAATCGGCCAGCCACCTTTTGTCCTACGTGAATTTCCCCGGACAAGTGCTGGGCATTGCCACCTCCATGATACTGGGTCCGTTGTCAGACACTATGGGGAGAAGGTTCATCTTCTATTTGGTGGGTAGTGGTGTTGTACTACAGGGAGTGTTGTCTCTGGTTGTTGTCGTATTGAATCTCGATGTGCACATCTTCATCGTTGGAGGTGTTCTGTCTGGGATGTGTGGTGGGTTTGCGGCGACACTGGGAGCCTCTTTTGCCTATGCTGCAGACGTTAGTTCTCCCGGGCCATCCAGAAGTATCCGAATTGCTTTCGTTGAGGCAATGGTCTTTGTGGCGGGTCTAATCGCGGAGGGGGGAGCTGGCAAAGTTCTGGAGCAGTTGAAATGTTCGTTTTGGCCTCTGATAGCAGTCTACATTGGCTCTGGTCTGCTGATGATCCTCTACACGGCTCTGTTCCTGCGAGAACCGTTCTCTCGCTCTGAGAGACTCCAGAGAGCTGCCGACAGTCCAAAGGGAATTGGACGACTCCTTCGTGGTCTGCGGCTCTTCTTCTGTCCCTCCACCTACTCCACCTGGAAGCTGTGGGCTGCTCTGGGAGCCCTCACCATCATTGTCGGGAACCTAATCGGTGCGCAGATGATTACCGCCATATTTCAGGAGGGTCCCCCTCTCAAATGGAAACCGGCCATGATCGGATACTTTGACGTGGTTCAGATGGCAGCTCATGGATTCGCAACACTTGTGATTCTCCCTCTCCTGGTGGCCCTATCTCTCCCTGACGTTGCCATTGCTCTCATTGGAGTGGTGTTCAATGCTGCGGTGGGGGTCCTCACCGGCTTTGTCCGCCAAAGTTGGCAGATGTTTCTCAGTGAGTTGGCAGAAAGGCAACCATTAGGGGGACAAATGGCCTGTGTGTACTTTCACATTGTCATAATATTTTCAGTTGGGACGATGTCAGGTATGGAGTCTATTGTAGCTCCCAGTGCAAGAAGTCTTATGTCTAAACTAGTATCAGCTGGAGATCAAGGCAAGTCGCCATTTTGATAATTTTCTATAATGATGCAAACTCATAATCATTCCTTCTGCAGGAGCAATGTTTTCGTTTACTCTATCAGTGGAACTGATAGCTGCAGCCGTATCCACTGCCTTCTATCCCAATATCTTCCCAGTCATCCTCAGCCACAAACTGTGGCCTGGATCTGTCTATTTCATCATGGCAGCCCTCTGCATCATACCTCTGTTTCTACTCTGGTAAGACCCTAAGCTATTCTTCCCACAATTCCATACTTTTTACGTTTTAGTACTATGTTATTGAAGGACTCAAGGGACAGTTTGTGGCAACACTGAAAGTGAAATGTTTTGAAATTCCCTTTAGCCTTATTTGGGCTGCGACGTATCGCTCACACACCTGGCTATGCTGCAAAGGAATATCGAAACGGAAGTTGGAGTCACTTCCGCCCTCTCCATCTCCTGGGACTGACGACGAGGGAGAGGAAACTGAAGAATTTGAGCCACTCCTGTACAACAAAGACCATCTTCAGCAGTCACATAAGAAAGGTCAATATAGTGTCAACTAGGTAGGTTTAAATCACTGTAAAAATAAAATAATCACTTTATATCACACTTTGTAATGAAAACACTCTAGCACTTCACAGATGAAAAAACACATATTAAAAACATATACTTGTGATGATAATATTATAATTATCAACTATTTATGGAGTGTGGGTGAGACCCGTAGCTAGAGGCTCGACCTCGTCCAATGAGACTGTGTCTCTCCAGTATATCTTTACCAACGGAGGCTGGGCTGAGGACTCGCGGTGGCTGGTAACGCCGAGACTGGCTCCTGCTCAACGCCCACTGAATACTGCCTCCCATACCATCAGAGTCATCAGTGCTGTAACCATTGCCGTGGAGGTGTGGAGCGAGTGTTTGGTTATGATGGTGAGGGTGGTGAATGGTGGGGATAGGAGGGGAGGTGGGGTGTGGAGTAGGAGATCCGGGGTTTGGGGGGAAACGCTCTGAATTGACAAAAGCCTGTCGTCTCGATCTCTTGGAAAATCTGGCAAGAGTTCTGTAGCAAAAAGAGTGAGAATAAGTGAATGTGAAACACCAGCACTCTAGATAATAGCCATAGATCATCTCAGTTACCAAGGGGTTCCCAACCCCAAAAAGTTGCTTATAATTATGCATGATTAATAATTATACTGCAAACCCACGAACTGTCTTGACTTGTAGCGTAGTGACTAATACTATAATGGCTGGTGTGTGTGCCTATACTAAGCATTTTCTCTGTGAGCTAGTATGATACCACGGAAGGGTGGACTCACATGAGGAAAGGAGTGGTGAGGAAGTAGAGGATGGCCATTAGCCAGAATGGAGAGCCGATGGGACAATCTTTCTCTTCTAGACACAGTTTGTAGACCAGATTGTACACTACGAAGGCCAGTGTCCCAGACAAGACTTGTACTGCCGATACCACAGAGAACAAGGCACCTAAGACAGAATGGTTCGACAAGCAATATGACGTGCACTGTTACGACACTTACAAAATCAGTGATTTTGTGTGCACTGCTTATAATTAAACTCTTACAACCAAAAATGCACGAGTGTGTCTCATGATACTATAATAATAGATCTTGCACTATAATTGTTTCCAGGCAGTTGATGCAAGCATTATCCTGTTTGTAGTATGTGACTATAACAGCACTGCAAAGTGCCTTGAGCTGGCAAAGATTCTATAGTAGAGAGCTTTGCCCGAGAGGGATTGTAAATAGACTGACCTTGCTCCCTGGGTGGGACTAATTTTGACATGCTGGCCTGCAGGGCTGGAGTTATTATGGCATCCACACCTTGGACAGTACCTGCTGCACTTCAAGAGAGACGGAGATAATACAAACAGTTTTTTTTAAAACCTTCTCACCTATGAACATTTGCCAGGACTCTGTAACAAATCCAGTCCCAATGTTTGTGAGGCACACTACACAGACCCCAAAGAGTGCTATCAGTGGGTCACTGAGTGAGCAGCAGACGAGGATCGGCAGGAGGATGATGGAGGAAAGGCCTCGAATGAACTCGCTGGCAGCAAGGTATGTTCCGATTGTGCCTGGCTTCCACTGCAGGGGCTCGTGCAGGGAGAAAAGGATGACAGTGGCAAGATAGCCCATTTGGTTGAGAACAGTGACTCCAAGAACTAACAGCCCAAACCAGAGCTTCCAGAGAGGAACTCCTCGTGAGCGATCGAAGAAGATTTTGAGTGGGACGAGTAGGGCCGATTTTGTTCCCGAGGCGAGGGACAACTGCCTCTCTGTGGCTTGCCGATGGTTGAGGGATTCTCTCATGAACAGAAGCAGGTAGATGACAACAACTACTGACATGACTAGTATCAGCAACGAGATGGGACGGTATTTGCAGTTGCTTGCACCTATCCAGAATCCTGCAGTGAAGAGCCCCATTGAGGCTGCGATGTAGGAGACGGCCACCAGGATCCCTAGTCGCAGCGTCAGCCACTTCCTCGAGCTGATGTCAGTCACGAACGAGCGGGAGACGGTGAGAAGGCCCGCTTCTCCGCCGGCTAACGACCGCAACCCTGAGCCCAGCACGAAATAGTACAGACTCAGGTCGAACTCGATTATACTGTACGTGACCACTGACTGAAAGAAAAGACCTCCCAGTACGATCCCAAAGGCCACCTTCCTCCCGTATCTGTCCGAGAGAGGCCCGAGAATCAGCGCCGACGCGATACCGGGGATCTGGCTTGCGACGCCGACGTAGAGATAGAGCAGCGAGACCTGGCCCTGAACGAAGTTGGCCGTGTCGTTCCCGCGCCTTCCCTCTTCGTTCAGCTTTCGCACAGTGACGCAGCCCTCTGCACTGTGGCTCCCATTGCTCAGCTGACTCCAGCTGTATACGTGATAGGCGTACAGATGGAAGGTGGTGAGGTGGACGAAGATGGCGTAGACGCAGAGGAAGACGAGCGGCTCCACCGACACGACTCGTCTGCTGCAGCTCTGGAGACAGTGGAAGCATCGAAGGCACCGCGTGTTGAGAAACCCACCGATTCCGCGAGCGCTGCTGATGGAGGATGGCCAGTACCTGTCTGAGCTTTCCATCTCGCAGATTTTTGGAAAACTGCGCATGCGTAGCCGATAAGTAATTTAACCAGGTCCGCCCTCCTTGGTTGTTTTCCTCGACTCTCCACCACTCCGCTACCCAGCAGAGGTTTAGCCATAGACGATGTCGGCGCCAACGAGTGTCGAGAGTTCTATCAGTCGAACGCCGACCACGACAGGCACGGCCGCACAAACCACGCTGCTCAACCCCGTGACGGCCTATCTCAGGTTCCGGAGGGCGAAGATCGTGACAGTGGAGCCCGTCCTCTTCCTCTACATGTTTGGCATCTTCTTGTCCCTCTCTATCGGCCAGGAGTACGTCTTCAACTGGTTCGGTAGGAAGATGCTAAGAGAGCACGCCAACCTCACGGCTCCGTTCAACTTTTGCGTGAGCACTGACCTCCTCAACGAGATGGTGCCCAGGAACGAAACGGACAGGGAAAAAAGCCGGAGACGTCGTTCAGACGCAGGCCTCGCTACTGAGCTTAGCGATGACGCTGCTCGGGCAGCTCCCGTCCGTCTTCGCGGCACTCGTGTACGGGCCTCTCACCGATCGCGTGGGTCGGAAACCCGTAATGCTACTGATGGGGTCCGCCGGAGCGCTCTCGGGGTTTCTCTACACCCTTGCAGTCTACCTGGAGTGGTCCATCTACTGGTTCGTGCCGCTGACGCTGATCGTGGCGCTAGCTGGAGGGATACCGGGAATCTTGACCGTTGTCTACGCGTATGTCGCGGACGTCAGCTCCACGAAGTGGCTCACACTCCGTCTCGGCATCGTGGAGTCCATGGTGTTCTTCGGGAGCGGGACCAGTCTGGCGCTGGGCGGTGTGTGGCTGCAGAGCTCACACTGCAAATTCGTAGCTCCATACGCCATTTACTGCATCGCCAACATCCTCATTCTGGTCTACGTGTTGTTCCTCTTGCCAGAATCCCTCACCAGGTCGCAGAGAAAGGCAAAATTCACAGGTTCCTCTGGACTTCGCCACATTGCGAGAAGCTTCCAGATATTCTTCACACGAAATGAGTACTCTCGCTGGCGTCTCTGGTGTGTCGTGTGCAGCATGTTCATCATCTACCTGGTGTTCACCGGTGCGTCGGAAATCAGCACCCTCTTCTTGCTCCACGCACCTCTCAAGTGGACACCTGGTGCAATAGGGATCTTCCAGGCCATGTCCCAGCTCTCCTACGGCCTCTCCATATTTCTCATCATTCCTCTGTTTGTCTATCTCCGAGTCCCCGATGCACTCATTCTACTGATCGGTGTGTTGTGGGGAACGGTTTGTTACCTTCTCACCGGTTTTGTAAGGAATGGATGGGAGATGTATGCAGGTCAGAATCACAAGTCTAATATGATCATAATCTTTTCCAATTATACATTGTTTCCCACAGTTGGAGTTGTACAAGGGGTGGAGTCTATTGTGGGACCTCCCATACGGAGCACAATTTCCAAGGCAGTGGCCCTGAAAGATCAAGGTTGGACACTACACTTATGTAAGCTTTAGTGTGTTGTGGTCATCTTTGGTTATGGACTATAATTATAGGAGCTGCATTCTCTATCCTGTCATCTGTCGAGGTACTGGCAGCGTTGAGTGCAGGCATCATCTTCTTCTTCTTTCTACCCAGTCACCCTATCCCTGGGGCTCCCAGCTGGCACCTCGTACATCCTGATGGCTGTGATTAACCTTCTTCAACTGCCTCTGACCGTGTGAGCACACACACTCACACTCGGTGCGAGCGGAGACCAATTAGCTGTTGCAACGTTAATTCAGAGGTTCCACAGGTAAAAAGCATGCTCTAGATATAATTATACCACAGTCCTCTCTCTTCAGTATTCTGTTGGTGTACCACAAGAGACCTGGGGGAGTGTACAGAGAACAGAAGAGCATATCAGAGAGGGAAACTGCAGAGAACGGAGAAAACCATGTCAGAGGGTGGTAAGGAAGAGGGGAGAAGACGGAGAGAGAGAATAGTCCTTTACTGCATCGTAAGACGTCACGAGACAGTCGTTACGGAGCTGCAAATGTTCAGCGCTCCTAATTTTTTAAAGCTAATCTAATTTTGTCCTCATAATGATCTTGCATTTAAAAAATATATAGCAAGGTTAATAGACACACGTCATGGAAGAAGTAAAAGAGTATAATATACACAAAATCAGATAGAAAAAAGAGACGGTGAACGATTGAGAGAAAATATGAATGATTGAGAGAGGCTGTGAGTGAGATTGGTCGAGGAATAAAATAATACATAATGTTGTCGTGGTTTTGAGTCATCGATCTGTCAGTCTGTTCGTTGGTAGGACTCCTGGAGCAGAGCACCAGGTGTTGGGGGTTGTATATATCGCACAGGTCGAAGATGGTTCAGGGGAAGAAGTGAGCCAATTTCATGTTTGGGAAATTGCAGCTAATCCAGTGAAGTGATTTGTTGAGGCGGGGGATGATGTTAGACATCCTGCAGATAGAGAAAGAAATATGGAGGGGGAGGAGAGGGAAAAGAGTGTGTGGGGGGGACAAAACAATCAAGTTGTGCTCACCACAGTCACCTCTCCCATGAATGATGGTACGGGCAGTTGGTACCTGGCCTGAGAGTACACACTATCTCCGTCCTCGTCCTGAACAACAAACAAACAACAACAGTAAACAAACAAACAACAACACAAACAATAACATACCCTGCAGTCGGAGGATTCATAATCGGGTACATGAGAGCTGGAAACGTATCCCTGGAGCTCAATGCTGTTCCTACTACCACAGTAGTAGCTGTCACTGATAGTCGACGCATCCATGTCCCGATGGCGATAATGAGCAGGGGCCACCTCGACTCCGCCCCTCTCGAAGTTGTCAATGGCGTCCCTGCGTCGCTGAAGGTAGGCCTCGCTGTCTAGTTCTATGTCTCGATCCAGTCGAACTCTGCTCTGAAACTGACTGTTTTGCTGGAGAAAGAGAGAGCACAGTGGAGAGAGAGAGAGAGAGGGAAATGCTTAGCGAATATAAGTGAGAAATGCAGCAGCTTTACGTACATCTATTACAGTATGGACAGTCGAAATATTAGGCTTGCTTAGCTCGCCAATGATAGAAGATAAGAGAAAGTGAGCAGGAGAGAAAGAATCCACCACTTTGCGCATACCTCACTCATCTCACTCTCATCATCGTTAATGTGAGGCTCCAGCATAGGGATCCTCGGCAGTCCCAGACCCATACCACCCCCCAGTCTGGAACCGAGACCGACGGAGTCCAACCCTCCCTCGGGGTACTCCGGAATGTCCGAGAGTCGGGGTGGGTGGAACTCAAACCCGTGTTCCTGGAAGGTGCCCTGGGAGCTGTTCTCAGAGTGATCCGACCCGCTGCTCTCATACGGAGAACGAACAGAGTTAATGTGCCCGTTGCCAACCGATGCCCCGCCCCTTCTTGTGAGGCCGGCCACACCCCCATTGGAACTGGGAGGTGGGTCTTGATTCGGCGTGTACGTTCTCTTCATGAGACCAAACTTGTTTAGTTCCAGTTTCAGCCACGCCCAGTAGGCGGGGACGTTGTTTCTCTGTCTGAGGAGGAAGATGAGGTGAGTGAGGATGGAGAGGAGGGACACGGAGAGGCTGTAGAAGGCAGGGACACTCAGGAAACCAAGTTCAGAGGAGGAGAGGGCCACCAGGATGAGGAACGGGAGGTCCTGTGGGGTCAAGGTTCAGAAGACATGACGCATCTCTGCTGTACAAGACTAAAAATGAATGTGATCGTTGCTCTTTCTGATACACAACCACACGACAAGGCAATGGACATACACACAGAGTGACTGAAACGAGTATGAATGAGTAATAGTTATAATACTAACCTGAAGAAAGACTAGTGTTAGCTCAGCATAGAAGTTGACTGCCTTCTTTCTGTCGATCCAAAACCTTTTGTACTTCATTGCCTTGCACTCTGTTCAGAGCAGACACACAGCGCAATAGAGAGCAGAGCGACACATACGATTGCACAGTGCCACCTGTGTTATGTGCTGCTGCTAAACATCTCATCCCACCACCTCTTTCTTTACTAGCAACTTACACCAAATCAGCAACGTGCCAATCAACTTGTAACAGTAGTATATTACAGCTAACTGTCTGGGGAACATGCTGCATTATACCTCACTTGGTAAAAACACCCTCCCCCCCAAATACAGGTGTACTGGTTTATAACTTACTTTTGATCATGTAGACGGTGAAATATTGATAGCCTCTTGAAGCTCCGCCCACTAGAGCCGAAAGGATGAGAAACAAAGCTCCGAAGCCCCAGATGCAGTTTCTACAGCAACCAGAGCAATATTCTTGTCTGACGAAATCGTTTCGACTCAGGTACACGATCCACCAGAGGTAGACAGAGAGGCTTGCCAGCTGCCAGAGCGTCGCACAGCCCTGCCTCACCACGGCAACGTTGAGATAAAACTTCGGGTTTCTTCCGTTGGATTTCCACATCTCGGGGTTTACGAGGCGCCACGCAACGAAGAGACAGAGGTACATGAGGAAGACGGAGAGGGTGAGGGTTATGAGAAGAACGCTCCAGTAGAGGTCCATTCCCGGGACCACCTCCCCGCACATGGCACGGGAGAAACTGTCGTAGTCCGCAGCGAGGGTGCGGCAGTTGCCGATGTCGCAAGTGATGGCCGATATACAGGAGTTCAGGTACAGCTCCAACTGGTTGTTGATCATCTCACTGGCTTGGGTCACTGCGGGAGACATTATAATACTCAGATCCATACTGTCCAAAAATGCTTATTTGTAATTACACGTGGGTTCGTGATCTATTTTATTAGCTAGCCTCACTCAAATGGAGTATGAAACATGAAAATCTCAAATGTATGGGCATAATGCAGGACAACCTGTGTCATCCCTATATACTAAGTACGGTAACTAAGTACTACCGTACTTAGTGATATAGCTCTTGTGTGTTGGCACCATAAGAGGGAAAACGTTACAATGCTAACTTTAGTGTGTGTGTGATCATAGAGGGGTGACCTCTGTACTATAGTTGGGTAATGGCAGAGTGGAGGTGTGGCTACAGACCTAGCTGGTTGGCCTTGGTTCTGGTGGTAAGTGAGACATTGGCAGAGAGCCGCGAGAGGGAGAGGGAGAGGGAGGAAGAGAGACGGCTGGTCTCAACCAGAGTTATGTTTAGCTGAGAGGCCGTGTCGGCAGTAGCAGAGAGACTGGATGACTGGGAGGAGGCATCGTCATGACATCATTACATCATTAGAAGAGACACACATAATAGGTACGTACCTCTAGTCTTGTCACCAGATGATCAAGATCCCCCAGAGCCTCATCAGCTGCCCCATACACACCAGCCGCCACCTCCGACCCATTCACTGACACCGCCGCGCTCTGTGGAAGTCACACGACAATCACACGAGGCTCACGTGATCCCACACCACCCACCATAATGTCTCCCACAGTTCTCCGTAGTTGGGCTAACTGTGTCAGAAGATGGGCAGAGGAGGAGGAAGAGAGGGAGACAGACACCTCAGCCCAGTCGACCGGGATGTTTGTCGCTAAGTTCGGTGTTGCCATGGCTACCGCCGCCTCAACAGACGATAGGTTTGCAGCTGCTAGTATCAGTGGATATCCTGCATTTCCTGCCTGTACTGCCTCTGAGGGAATGATTAAGGGGTGGAGCTACGGTTTACCCATTATTAAATTACACAAGTGTGAACGTATAGGCCACAAAAGAGAAAGAGAAGCAGAGAGTGAATTTACTGTATACAGATCAGTGTGTGTAAAAAAAGAGAGAACAGGAGGTCAAACAGAAAGGGTGAAAGAGACAGAGAGAAAGAGGGAAGATGGAGAGAAAGTGGAGGGAGAGGAGGGAGAGAGGAAAGAGGAGAGGCTCACTTTCTTGGTGGGGCTGAGCCAGATGCGGTCCTCCAGGTCATACCTCTGTTCCAGGTGGAAGGCACGGAACAGGGACGCGTTGGAGCGACAGGCGGTCAGGGTGTCGGAGACGCGCAGGGGGTAGTGGGAGAGGTTTAGCATGACGGCGGCGAGGGGATAGAACGAGGTGTCCTTATTGGTCCACGTCCGAGGGTTGTCAACGATATTCTCAAGCAGCTCGCTGAAGTTGTTATGGTTACCGCATGCCTTTCCCATCACCCCGGCTAATGAAAGGCACACGCCCGTAAACGACGCGGAGATGATAGAGATTACACACAGGCTGAAGGCAATCCTACACAGATAGAGAAAAAAGGGAGGGAAAGGGAATAATGGTATTATCCCTGTAGCACTAAATTTAGTAATTGTTACCAAAATTGCTGATCCACAAACATATTATAATGCCTAATTTGGCACTGTAAAACGTTTTTACTACCTTTTCACCGGGCAGTGTGGGAACATCAGTACATGATAACTATAGATATCCACCTACTTCTTGATGACCATGCCAGACTGGTGAGCTCCGTGGTCATACGTTGCACTGTCCGAGTAGCGGTAGATAGCGGACACGAAGTAGAGACCGCGACCGAGGGCCGCGAGGAGGGGGAGTGAGCCGGCAAAGATGAGGACAGCAAACGTGACCGTCAGAGCTGAGCGGAACCACTCCCAGTTGCCAAGGTGTCTTGGAGGGTGGGGAGGGAAGAGGAGAGGGAAGAGGGGGAGAGGGAAGAGGGGGAGAAGAGGAGAGGGAGAAGAGGGGAGAGGGAAGAGGAGAGGGAAGAGGGGGAGAGGGAAGAAGAGGAGAGGGAAGAGGGGGAGAGGGAAGAGGAGGAGAGGGAAGAGGAGGAGAGGGAAGAGGGGGAATGAGTTGTCAAATGTAGACAAGAAGTCTGTGAAACATGTAATGTATATACATCAGAACCCCAAGGGATGTTTTTGGCTCTGCAGAGTTCTGTTGCGATGACACTAGGTAGAGGGACCCCAGGATTTCAACAGGATTTCAAAAGACAAGCTACTTTAGTATGACCTCAAATTAACTTGGAATTGAGGGGGGAGGAAGATGTCCCCCCTCACGTAGCTACAAACACCCTGAATTGTCTGAAGTGGAGGTGTGGCAGTACTACATGGGGTGGGCCACTATTACAGTCCAGGGCGCAGTACGCACTCCCTGCGTAGGGACGCTAAGAGTTCCCGAGGGAAGGCAATGAGAGTGTGGAGGACACATTATAAGTGGGCCAAATTACTATCCACGAGCCAACTACTGGCTATAATAGCCACCATGCCCAACTCCATACATTGGTTCCGAGTGCTACCGTAATTGGAGATAAACAAACATACCTCAGTCTGCTACATTATGTACACATGTGTACACGTATATAGGGTCGAGTAGCCCATCAAGTTTTCTGAATTCCTCTCAATTTTAGACAGTGCTGTTTGTATAATACCAAAATGCTGTGCGCAATTCTATAAAATGGCACATTTGCCTGCCACTGACGCACTGCATACATTTAGTGTAAGCTATGCACACACATTGTATCACTAAGTACAGTAGTATTTAGTATATAGGGATGGGCATGGTGCATCATAGATGTATGGGGCTATGATAGGTAGTTGTAGTTCATCATCTTCAACACCCATAACTCAAAACCGAATGATAATATAAGGAGTTTATTTACACCTGTATAATATACGTACCTTGGACCAAGGTAGAGCTCCATTTGAGGCTGCGAGTGGAGAGTGAGAGAGGAGTTGTAGAAGATGGCCACCTCCTCCGTGAACTGGGACAAGTTGCCCCCCAGAGAGGAGAAGTAGGTCTCAGTGGTGGAGTTGACCTGTGACGACAGGTCCTGCGTCTGCCGCCGCCGGTGGAGAGAGGGAGAGAAGAAATTGAAATATCCAGAACAACAACATGTACTAAGAAGTTACCGTATATAATAGTACGGGAGAAAATTTTGACTTTCTAAAATTTTTTTCACGATTGACAATCAGTTTTTTTCTCTCGATATGAATACATTTTCCGCAAGGGCATACCATTTCATTCAGATATTCTAGCAGCAGGTCTGGCGGAAGAGGTATTCTGTCAGTCTGTGGGAGAGCGTCACGACTCAACAATGACTCCAGTTGACTCAGGAACGACCTCCCGTCCTCCGAGACTCCGCCCACCTCGTTCCAGCTACGAGAGTCCGGTACGAGTGAGGAAGGGTCAAAGGTGAAATCATTGCAGGGTGTAGAGAGGAGGGAGAGGGAGGAATTTCCGTCTTCTGTAAGAAGAGAAACAAGAAAGACAGCAAGAATCTATCACCACTCAACAAACACACACCACACAAGTCAACCACTCCATTACACACCTACAGGTTATATATACCACTGGTCTAGACACTATTGCACAGTTTGTCATATGTACCTATGTACCAATATACCGTATACTGCCAACAGAGGGGTCTATAGCCAACAGAGGGGTCTATAGATGCCCGTGTGGGACTACAGACGCGGTGTAAACACCGACACAAGAATAAAGCCAGGACTTGTACAGACTGTTGATGGATTCCTCATCAATGCCAGCCGACCAGGCCACATCTGAGCTTCTATCTCTTTTGCTGACTAGGTTCCTCGATTACACATGTGTGGCTCCGTCTTGATGGGGTCGTGCCCTTTTGTAACACTCAGTGCACTTCCTGTATCATTTGTATATACGCCTATAGAGACACTGTCTTCAACCCTCCCCTCTTGACACGTGTACGTATGTATGTATGTATGTATGTATGTATGTATTATTGCACTACTGTTTACCATTCGTCAGTAGAGAGCAGTTGTCGCGAAGGGAGACGAGGGAGTTGTTTAGTGACGACGTGAGGTCGTGGAGGAGTGAGAGGGCCGTCGTCACGGAGACGGTGAGATTGTACAGGAGGCGTGGTCTCTCGGAAAAAAACGCAGAGATCTGTCGGAACCAAAAATCAACAAAAAAATGTGCGGTAGAACCCAAAGGGGTTAAAAGTGTATAGAGAAGCCAGTCTTACTGATTGAGAGAGAATGTCGGCAGTAGTTGAGTGACGGGCAGAAACAGTATTGGAGACTTCGTGAGGAATTTCACTGGAGAGGAGAGGAGAGGAGAGTGGAGGAGAGAGGAGAGGAGAGAGAGGGGAGCTCCGTTGATTACAGTACATTGGTGTGCCAGAGTGGCTCAGTAGATTACAGAGCAAGAGGGAGGGGAGGGAAGGAGCAGGTTTTGTAAGTATTATGTATTAATGAGTAAAAACTTGCCAAACATATAAATGCATTTCCAGAGAATAAGGTAGGGATGTAATGCCACACACGTTGGCTTGTGGGATGTAGCAAAGTTGAGTGGCCACCATTTGTACCAACACACAGACCATAATGATCGTCAATCCCAATTACACAGAGGCCCCCTGTCGTCCCTCCATCCCTCAGCGGCAGACTCCTGGCTCCGAGACCCACACACACACACACACACACACACACCTCCTCTCAGACTGCCAGTCAGAGGAGCAATGGAACAAGGCACTCCGAGAAGCAAACACACTTGGCCCACACCTCAACCTAATTGCACGCAGCAGCCCACCAGCTGCTATCCTTATTTCTACTTACTGATGCCTCTTGTTGTCTTCGGCGTCACATTCCTCACCTCTACGCCCCTCCGCTCTACGCTTCGACCCTCTACTCTACGCTACGTCGATGACCTCCAGCTAAAGTTGAGTGGGCCACATGTACCAGCACTAGCAGACCATACGATCAGTCAATCCACAATTACAGCGCAGGCCCCTGTTCTGTCGTCCCTCCATCCTGTACACAGCGCAGGAAGTCCCTGCGCGCGCGAGACCCACTTACACGCACGACCACACACACACACACACCTCCTCTCAGCCTGCCAGCTCAGAGAGCCATGGAACAAGGTCACTCGAGAAGCTAAACACACTTGGCCCACACTCACCTAATCTGCACGCAGCAGCCACCAGCTGCTATCCTGATTCTACTTTACTGATGCTCTTGTTGTCTTCCTCCTTCACACTGCCTTTCCCTCGACTGTCATACCTCTACCCTTCCAAAACCAGAGAAAAAAGAGAGCGATGGGAAAGAGGAAAACCCTCTGACGTGTTACCTCTACCCCTTCTCTCCAACCATCTACTCTACTCTACCCATGATTCCAACTTCTTCCCTTTATCTAATCTGTCTCCTTTATTCTTTTCGCCTTGCCTGATTCTCTCTACCTATCTGTTCATCTCTCTCTCTCTCTCCTCTGTCTCTAACTATTTACCGCAGTGGTCTATAATGCCTGCACGTCAGTACATTCGGAGCAAGGTTGACTAACATACAATGTTGCAATTGCTAGCCATTATATGTATCGTGGATTTGTCACGGAATCCAATTATGTAATCAGGTTTAGTTCACGGCCAATAAAGCCATGTTTGCAGAGTACAGCCATGCATTAGAACGGAATGTACGCAAATTTTTGGTCCAACACAAGATTGCAGTTTTAAGGCTGTGCCATTGTTGACATATATTGTACCGTGGAGAAATGGAAGGCTCACTTTGATAACCACTGTTTCTCTTCCTTTTATATACTCACACTTGGTTTGGTTATATATAGGCCTCAGGGTGTGTGTGTTGGTGGGTGTGTGTGTGCTGCGTGCGTGTGCGTGTGTGTGATTTACTCAAGTCTGGAGGTCTGTAGGTCGAGGGTGAGGTTGTCGTATCCCTCAATCAAGAGTTCGTCAAGATTCTGTAATGCCGAGTCCCTCAACTCGACCAACTGATCAACAGGAGAGAGAGAGAGAGAGAGAGAGAGAGAGAGGGGGCTCATAAGACCACACACTCCACTACTATACTGTGTAGTAGGATATTGAAAACTAGTTCAAAAGTCATAAGCGAAACATTAGTGAAAGGTATCCGCCAAGTTCGCAGGCGGGACTGGGAATAAACAGTATGTATAAAACAAGCAAGTTTGAAGTGTAAGACAACGTAGGAACCTCACGGCATTTTCCTTCGTGACGCACACGTGTGCACGTGATATGTGGGGGGAGGGACTGTCTGGTTTGTGAGACTACAGCTAACTAACCTGAGGGATGGTTCTCTCCACGATGGCACCTCCCTGTGTTACTCCCCGGGTGATCCACGAGTTGGCCCCTAGTAATATCCCCACCATTACCAGGAGGACAATGAGTGCCACTATCAGGGCCCCGGCCAGACTCCATACCACCACCTGTGACTGCAGGGTCAGGTTCCTGGACCACACACACACACAGAACTGGCATGAAACCTCCGAATGAAGTACACCACACACACAGATGAATAAAGGACACCTCTCTATAAAGGACATTCTGCCCCATACTATACTTTAGCATGAAACAGTTGCTGAGAATAAGACAATTCTTGGTAGCTACTTTCGAGAGAGAATTGTGCTGGTTCATATTCTCTAGCTGAGCTGTCCAAGCCGTCTGAATTGCACATTCATGCATCAAAACGAGTTTGCATTTCATAGAACGGAACGGACCGGCAACGGATACACCATGATCATGCCTTTGTGCTGTTCTTTTAGCTCATCAATGTTTCACACTATTACATTACTCAATAGCCCTATAGAAGCAGCTGCTTCCTCTGAGAAAACTAATCTTTGACAGCGGTGTGTACCCCACATGGTGCACATGAGGTGGTCGAAACTGGTCTGACCTGTTTTCCTGCTCCTCCTCCTCGTCGTCCTCGTAGCAACACTCCCAGAATGTCCACAGAGCCATGGCCGCCGCGGGGAAGAGGACTCCCACAAACAGAACGAATCCTGGAGGAGAAGAGAGGGAAGGAGGGAGAGGAGAGGGACGGCAGGAAGGGGAGAATGAAAGAAAAAGGAACAGACCTGCTAAAATAACTGTCAAGACCAGCAGACTATGAAGGGTGTTTATATCCCTGTAAATCCAATTAGCGAGGGTATTATTAACAGCTGCTTAGCTCCTTGTATAGCCGCCAGCCGCCAGACACCAGACAAGAGAGGGAGGCACTCTCAGAAATTGGAGTAATTTCAACCCACAATCTAATTGGCCAGCCCAACTACATCCCTACCACAAACACTATGGTATATACATCCCATGCTCATTGAGCACCCTATATACATACTGTACTTAACAGTGTGATACTGTATGTGGTGCATCTATCTTATTATGGCGTATGTTGAATGGCTTAGAGCCACATCTTCACCACACATATGAAATCGTATGTATGTATGTACCTCCAACAAAGAGAGCGTTTTGAGTGTGTCTTGTCCATTCTGCAACAAACACCGACGGGGTCAGCGGCCTACTTCCATTATACCTATATATACACATTATGACAAGGGTTATCACAGCCGGTTAGATGATAAGTCCCTCTATTGCTCAATGTTTGCAAATGGTAGAGGCATCTACGACCAACAAGAATGTCAGATGAGCTCACTGCAGTCTCCATGCCAACTCATCTCCACATCACAAGAACAGAGCAGCGGAACATGAAGTCACGGCGATGACAAGCTCTGTTATCAACTATTAGGGAAGCTAATCCGTAAAGAGGCAAGGCTCGCGACCCGCAAACAATATACATGTTCCTTCATACACAATAGAATTCACAGTGCACACTATGAGCGTACAGGACTACTATCGACCAGTACTTACGCCTCTCTGGCTCTAGTCGAGATGAATTCATACGGCAGATTACCGCCAACCACGACACTCCGAGTCGACTCGGCGCTCGCGACCAGGGACGACAGCCCGCCTCTATCGCGGAGAGACAGCTCCGGGGGACGGTAGGGCCGCGCGGGGCATTCACCGGGACCGCTCGAGCGACCCTCCACGCAGCAGCCGCACCAGAAGAGCCAGAAAAGTAGCCAAGAAGCCGCAGACCGGGCGCTGCCTCCTCTCCGTCGAGACATTGCGGTGTGGGTTTCGCGGCGAAGGCGATTGCGGAGTGCTATCTACGCTGATCGAGAAGGAAAACTGCACGACGGACCATCGCTGGAGCAGTGAATGGTAGAGAGACGAGCCCCTATCCCTTCCCTACTCGACTTCACCTCATGAACTCGCGTGGGTGTGTTTTTATACGCCAGCGCGATTATCGCAGGGCGGCAATTAGAGTTCCGAGATCTCCGGTCATGAATATCATTGTGAGGACGCGATCGATCGGTAACGGTAGGTACAATTGCTATATAGTCAAAGTGTAGTAATGATCAACAAATCTTTTTTAGCGCTTCGAGTTAGCTACGTAGGGGGGCACTGGGTAAATTCCAGCTGGAACGCAAAACGGTTACGTATGGACAGGTGGCATCTGCAGCTTTTACTTGCACTGAGCTTTCCCACGTACTAATCTGCAGAACAAATCTCGCTGGTCCAGACCCTCAGAGCCGGCAGACAAGCGATATCGCTGCGCAACCGTCTATCTATTTGATGCGCACCATGGGGTTTCCCCTTCGCGCAGCCCACGCACGTGTAAAGGTCGAAAGTTCAGTGTGCGCAATTTCGAACATGCAAAGGAGGTACACGCTGTTTGCCTACCTGTTGTGGCTGTTGTTGGGCTGGTTAGGAGTCCACCATTTCTATCTCCGTCGACACAAACAGGGAGTGCTATGGCTGACGTCCTTCAGCGGCTTTTTCGGGATCGGTAAGGCCGCGGTACGGGCGATCTTGGTCTATTACGTGCCCTTGTGTGCGGTTTTTGGGCGTGTGGGTGTGTGACCGCGGTGGTAGAAAGGAATACGCTTACATTCTTAGTGCATGATTGGGCCCTTGGCTGAAAGACAGCTTTTGACCCCCCCACCTCTGTATCAACACTGACATGTATTTTGTTCATGTGAGTTCTGTCTTGCTAGGTTGGTTGCGGGATTTCTGGAGGCTCCCGACCTATGTCAGAGACTCCAACGACGACCCAGAGTTCCTCGAACAACTTAACGTGAGATTTCGTCACTTGCGAGGTCCACGTGTCTTCAGCAACTGGCACCGTCTGGTGGGCCAGGTGCTGTTTGGAGCGTTCTACCGTGGACTGATCCACTGCGCCATTCCGTGGGAAAGCTCTGTCATTGACTTTGCTGCACTTATCGTTCCTCTAGGGACTGCCTTCGGTACTTACATGGTCAGTAATGTCGGTCGACAGAAAAGCCCGTTCTACCTTGCTCTAATTGGGGCATATGTTGGTGAGTTTCTAATGGGAGAGCCCCATCTTGTTCTGGAAGGGAGCAACGCTGTGTTAGTGGCTGGAGTTGCCATGGTGTTTTCAACCTACGGCTGGGAGTGGAGGAGAGACAGAGAGGACATGTCGTGCGGCAAGTGTCTGTTAGTTGTGGTGTTGGTCTACGGCATATTCATCGGTCTCTGCTGCTCTTTCGTCTACTTCAACGCATCAGTCGAGACGGAAGACGGTGAGACAATCAAAGTCCGCGACGCTCTAGAGAATTTCTTCAACTCTCCGGCATGGCAGCAGATAAAGACAGCGTTCTGGGTACTCTTGAGTGACATCTACCAGTCGTGGCGGACAGGTGGCTACGAAAAAGCCTGGAGCAAGTTTGTTGACCTTGCCGACATAGAGGGGGAAGACCACGCCTATGATGTGCTGGAGTTGGAGCGGGGTGCAGAGTTCAAGGAGGTTAGGAAGAGGTACAAGGAGCTGGCGAGGGAGTGGCACCCCTGACCATCACCAGGGAGACGAGATGAAGCTCAAAGCTCAGGAGCAGTTCATGAAGTATAACAATGCCTACAAGGTTTTGGAGGGAATTCACAAGCGGAGGAAGAAGTACGGTGATGACTATATGGACTGACGCTCCGCTCTTTAGTTGTGTTGTCATAGATTACATCTTTGCATCGTTTCCGGCACGCATGCGCAAAAGACAATGATCCGCGGCGCGCGCACGGCACGCTAGCAGCTACTCCCGGAAACGCTGATCAACTTTTGTGGAAGAGAATGATTGATACAGGTGACAGTGACAGTGGCGCTGCGGCTCCTGGGTCTGAAGTAACTGATTCGTCTCGTAGGATCAAGGTATGGCTGAGGCTCCACTGTCTCGCCTTCGGCCCATTGAAAGAACTTACACTTCAACAGATTTTATTGGTACCAATACCACCTGGCAGCTGATATCATCTACCAGTCAATATGACAGAGAGCGAATCCCAGGCATTCCAAATGATAGAGAAGTGAAGCCGCGTTTTACAGTGGATAAAAAGCTCAACCAAAAGGTAAGAAGGAACGCTGAAAGGTGTGAGTGATTGCTCTGTGTGTATAAAATGTAGATATCACTATGGAGGGGAGACATCACATGCCTCAGAATTGATGCCATTGTGAATTCTCTCACCCTGAACTGATGGTTGGAGAAGTTAATATAGCCGTTCATGTAGCAGCAGGTAAAGGTTTAATGAATGAGTGGTGGAAAATAGAGAGCTGTACCCCTGGAGGTGCTGTTCTGACTGGAGGTATTATATGTGCTCATTTTCATTACACATTAGATTACTATAATAATCACTGTAGGTTATGAACTTCCTGCAAAGTGTAAGTAATGAACTTTATACTTTGCACTAAACATTACCGACGACACAATAATAGATGTCTTACATACTTTTGGGTCTGGATTCAGAAACCAAGCAATGCTGGAGAGTTGCTACAGCAGCTGCCTGGATCTGGTACTTGAACACAACATCCGATCAGTGGTACATAATAAACTTTTGACCTCTGAATTTTAGATATCATTTTAAAATGCAGGCATTCCCATGCCTAGGTACTGGAAGTGGCGGTAAGATATGCACATAAAACTATTCCAAGGTATATTGGTAGCTGTGATAATTTCAGGTTACCCGTGTGATAATGCAGCTCAGGTAGCCCTCACGACTACACGTAAATGGCTGAAAACACACAAAGACAAGGTTGGTTGATTTTTAAAACGGGCAATTTGTTCATTTTTTGTTTTATTCACAGGTTGATATGATTATGTTTTGTGTCTTTAAACATATTGATTTTGAAGTATACTATAAATATTTAAATGTGATTTTTCCTGTTGAGAC